CTCTTCCCAGGCTCCAGTGAGTTCCGTAAATTTCCTGAGTCTGTGGTTGCCGCTGGTCTCCCCGGACCGGCAGTTGACATTTCCCCCTGTGGTGTTACATTCGTGTTTCCACCTTTAACATGTCGGACTAAATGAGCGTTGCGGTCTGAGGATTTCAGAGATTTATAACAGAGTCTTGAAAATTTACTTAAGGAATATGTACTTCCCCGAGCAATAACAAGTATTACTACAAATGACCATATTAAATTAAAGTAACTTAGGCATTTCTGATTCGTAGGAAAGTTCAAATTAATCCTCGGCAGTCTCAGTTTCCAAACGCAAACACGGCTTTGCCGGCCGCAGGTTCCAGCGGTTAGTCAGCAGTGAATGAACCCGCAGGTGACGGGGTTTTTCCCTGAAGAATATTCAGTTTCCCCTTTTGTGGAAAAGCAATACTGGAAGGAAGAGACCCTGAAAAATAAGCCATAGTTATATGTGGGAACCAGGAAACTTCAAAATTCTTTTTTCTATAAACTGAAATGGATTGTTTTTATAATTTTTAAAAAGAAAAGAAGCCTTTCTTATCCATTCTTAATTCCTTCCCCGACTAGTGAGGAGGAGAGGAGCCTGGCTCAGATGCTTATTTTTTTTTTCATTAAAAAAAAACTACAAAGTTAAAGTACTGGTCAGTGTTTGATAATTGGTTCTTGGGGAGAGGGAAAGCCCTGATTTGTAATAATTGCCAATTTCCATGATGCAATACTCCCTCCATGGCCAATGTCAAGCTACCACATGATGTCACAAGCAGAGTAGGGAAGAGAGAGCAGTCACGGTAGCCCACCATTAGGTAGTAATTCTACCAAACAGAGACCATACTAAAGGAAATAACCTCAACCACATAAATAATAGTAAAATAATTAAGAACCAATAAGTTTTGAGTATTACTGCCTTTGTCTTTAATATACTTACTTTAATTACAAGTTCACATAATTTAAATTTTAATAGTTGGTGTGTTTAATTAAATTAACATAATTTAATTTTAGTGATGGGGGCTCACAAAATGCCTGAAAACGTAAGGTTTCACTCTCACAAGATGGTCTTGACAAAAACCTGTATCGATGGAATATTGCTTTGAAACTCTAGGGTTTAGGTGTCCAAAGGCAGGCAGAGTCCTGGTTGATAAGTGAAGGAGCAGGAGGAGCAGGGCAGCACAGCCAGTGAGGAGCTGGTGAGCATGTGCCCAGGCCTGTGCGTGCTCCCACCGACAGTAAATCATGCCACCATGGGTTGTGGCAAGGCAAGGTTGCCATGACTCATGGGCTAGCTGCAAGTTCAAAGCCACCCATCCAGGAGAGAAGGAAGGAGGTGGAGGGAGAGAAAGGCGGGCAGAGTGCTTCAGGGGTTTCATGTTTAGTGCTTTTAACACAGTGCCTCATTCTCGCGGCTAGAAAGCACTCAGCAGACACATGGCAAAACCGATTGCCGTCCACAGCCAACCTAACGCGCTTGGAGGCCAAGGTGGGGGGTAGAGTGTGTTGTTGTGGTTATTTGTAGTTGTTGTTTTATATCTGTGCTTAGGAGAGCATTTATTTTACAATAAAAAGCATGAGCTGTTGATACTTTTTAACCAGAGTGGGAGAAGACATGGAGGGAACCCCCACCTTTGACAAGAGTTTGTCTGACGCTGCCTGTGACTATCTGGGCTGATGCCCAGTCGGTCAGCCATTGCATAGTCCATGCTACTCGAGAGCCATGGACATGCAGCATGCCCTCAGGCAATCCGGAGCCGGGTAAGGGGTGGAGATAAAACCTCATTATAAAGCTTTCTGTAATGATAAGAGCTCTGGGCGTTGAGCCATTTCCTGTGTGACAGGCACCGAGGCCTCACCACAGCCCCATGAGGTCAGCACTCCCACTGCCCTGGTTCCCAGCAGGCGGTCCTCTCACACCGTGAACACTGAGACTCACAAGATGACCAGGGCCACAGTGGGCACTGGGTCTGTTCAGAGGGGTGGTGGGCAGAGCCACAGCTGACAGCCAGGCAGTGTCCGCCTCCGTGGAGTCCTGTGCAGGCAGTCTGTTCAGATGCGAGTCAGATGGCCCTGGGGCAGGGGTGGGAGCTGCCCCGGTGGAAGAGGGGGTCGGGCTCGGTAACATTCCAGGGGCATGCTCCCAGTTCCCCACCGGGACGTGTCTGGGACAAGACCCCCATGCTCGGGAAGCCCAGGGTCTGTCTTCCTATCAGTTCGCGTGGACTTCTCCTTCCTCCCGGTCTGGGTGTGATGGACCAGTCTTGGATCAGTCTTATCCTGAGGAGCACAGCTGACGTATCTTAGCAGGGTACCCGCATTAACCAAAGATCAAATCCTCCTGCAGAAAGGGAACAGATGTATGTCAACCCTTCACCTATAACAGTTAGTCCCATTTCACAGAAAATAACGCTGAGGTTTAGAGACGTTTCTCAGCTTGCCTCAATCACGTAGTCAGTAACCCAGCCGGGACTTGAACCCTGGCCCACTCCAAGTCCCATACTTTTCACCAGAATGTGAGATGTAGGTTTCTCATTCTCTCCCATGGCATATCTGTGTTTATCTGACTATTGGAAACAGGAACTTGAACTCCGACACTGAGAACTACTGGTCCTCCTGGAAGAAGCGTAGGCTTGGCCTGTGGTTTTGCCCACACTGCTAACCCCATGTTGAGCTCCGCACCGGCCGCTAGTAGGATAATAAAGACAGCACTAGCTCCCTGCTTTTCTCTGAGAGCCCACAGTTTGAGTAGAAGTTTATGGAGAGGGGATAAAAAGACAGGTTTAAGAGCAGCAGAGCCATCTGAAAAGAAACGCGTACCTGCTACCAGGTGCAAACAATTCTGCTTTGCAGTGTGCCTTTCTTTTTAAATCACCGCCATCCTGTAGCACCAATCCTCAGCGCTCAAGGCGAAGTGCTGCAGTTCAGTTCTGCGTATAAAATGTGGTTTATATATCTAGATTGTATTGCAGAAGCCATTCAAGAAATGTGCCATTCATGCTCCAAGTACAAAAGTAGGCACTTTAAGACACTGTAACAATACTGTAATATTGTTTCATTGGGTGTTTGATCAACTCTCAGCTTTTACCAGGCATCAGAACTATCTGTTGACATCCCAAAGTTCAGAACGTGAGGAAGACAAATGTTAGGGAGTTTTGTAGGCAGGATGTGAAATGGGTTGAGTGAAACAGCATGTTTAAGTGCAGTGGAATTTATGATGAATTGTATTGAAATAGTCAAAACACAATTGATGGAGGGGGACAGGGTACGTAGAGGACTTGTGGGCATTGGTTATGTTCTGTTTTTAGCCTGGGCAGTGGGCACAGGTGCCAGTTTTATTACCCAGATGCTTTCAAACACTCAATTCACTAGGCTTTCCGTTACAGTTTTCAAAAACGCAGTTGATAAAGTCTGCCTGCCAATAATACAGCCCAACTGGCATGGCTCAGTGGTTGAGCATCAACCTATGAACCAGGAAGTCACAGTTTGATTTCCGGTGAGGACACATGCCTGGGTTGTGGCCTCAATCACCAATGTGGGGCATGTAAGAGGCAGCCAATCAATGATTCTCTCCCATCATTGATGTTTCTATCTCTTGCTCTTTCCTTTCCTCTCTGAAATAAAAATATATTTTTAAAAATAACAATACAAAAAAGATATTTGCTCTTTAGGTAAGAGATATTTCATAGATTGTTTTGAATCTTATATTACACTAGAGGCCCAGTGCATGACATTCATGCACGGGGAGGGCGGGGGTGACCTTCAGCCCGGCCTGTACCTCCTCCAATCTGGGACCCCTTCAGGGATGTCTGACTGCCAGTGTGATCAAGCCTAAACTGGCAGTCAGACATTCCTCTCACAATCTGGGACTGCTGTCTTCTAACCACTCGCCTGCCTGCCTGCCTGATTGCCCCTAACCGCTTCTGCCTACCAGCCTGATCACCATCCCCCCCCACCCCCACCCCGCAACTTACCTCCTCTACTCTCCTGGTTGCTCCTAACTGCCCTCCCCTGCCGGCCGGGTCACTCCCAACTGCCCTCCCCTGCTGTCCTGGTTGCCTCTAACTGCTCTCTCCTGCCAGCCATCCTCTGATGATGTGAGGGTGGCCATCTTATGGTAGCCATCTTGTGATAAAATCGCACATGACACCACCTAGGCTTTTATTATGTAGGATGAATTTATGAAATGTTAAGTTATACAGTGAGGAAAGAACAGTTTGAATACTACTAACCTAAGAGGAGTGTTGAAAGAATAATTTTGAAATTCCCAAGATGAAATTGTCAGGAAAGGCCACCTTTGCCTTTATGGGCAATAAAATCACAGCAGGAACAGATCCTCTAGTGCTCTTCCTCCTTGCACTGAGCTCATCCCTTCCTCTTGAATGTGCCTGGGCTGGCTGACTCGGTCATTCCATAAACGCTCGCTGAATGGGCCTGCAGTGTGCTAGCAACATCTGTGGGACTGGGCTCCTTCCTTTCAGCTAATGGCTGCGGAGACAAGGCCTTCCGTCAGTGAAAAACATTAAAAAGCCCGAAGGACAATATGAGAACCCGGAGTCAGACACAAGAATCAGTTTTCATGTGACCATGATGCCAACCTATCTACAGAGAGCCCTGTCTCCCTGGGCGTGGCTGGGAGCTTGAAAATGGGTGGGCTTTCCGCAGGTTGGAAGAGAGAGAGGACTCCCCAGAGAGGACAGGGCTTGTCACTGATGCACTGATACGGGTGCAGGTGCAATCTGTATGTGAGTTTCCCACCAGGAGGGTTTGCCTAGGGAAGAAATGGGCCTTGCTTTGAGGGACCTTAAACCAACCAGCTAGCAGATGCTTTCCTCGTGCAGGAAAACGGGTTCTGTTGTGAGCTTTGAGAGTGGGACAGACCTGTGAACAAGCCCCTTTCCCAGGAGGGGGCATCTGTCAGGCTCGGGGTAATTGTCACAGTCCTCCTGCTCTGTAAATGGCCCGGTCACTCACCTGCCCTTGTCCCTTCAGATTCATGACTGATGCTGCCCGCCGGGAGCAGGAGTCCCTCAAGAAGAAGATCCAGCCGAAGCTCTCACTGACCTTGTCCAGCTCCGTGTCTCGGGGGAATGTGTCCACGCCGCCGCGCCACAGCAGTGGAAGCCTTACTCCCCCCGTGACCCCGCCCATCACGCCCTCCTCTTCATTCCGCAGCAGCACCCCGACAGGTGAGTGGCTTGGCTCTACCCCTGGTGAAGAGTGAGTGTGAGTGTGAGTATGAGTGTGTGTGTGTGTGTGATGTGTGCTGGGGGCCAGGGATAGGTGGTGATTCAAACCCACCTGTTTGACCCTTTAGTAGTCCAGGTGGAGTTTGTTGGTTCATTCATCTACTTATGATTGAAGAAATATTTGTGAATTACTGTTCATCATATGTATGCAATAATGGATTTATACGTTTCATGCCCTTACCATGTCTTATGTGCAAAGGGATAGGATGGCTTGGGTTTGCACAGGTGGAGGAGTAGACAAAAAAGATGGCCACGTGTTGATTATTGTTGGAGCTGGGTGATGAGTGCATAGTGGTTCAGGACACAGTCTCCCAATCTTTGCTTCTGGAAAATAGTTCTCATAATAAAATGATTATTATAAGAATATTTACAGTGCCTCTCCGCCAGGCAAAGGAGACCCATTCCTGTCCCAAAGAGCTTGGGCCTCGTGGAAGATGTTGGCCTTCTAGGGGGCCCACAAGCACACTCTTGTCTTCCCCTCCCCAAAGTGCAAGTCACTGAAAAATAAAACAGCAATCAGAGTGGAGTTCAAAATCAAGTTTATTAGTGCAGAAAGCCAGCCTACTGGATGGAGAGTGGATTCGTAGCCATTGGGCTTCATCGTAGGTCTTCCTGAGGGGTTAACTTATTTCCTAAATCACCCTTTTGAGCTTACCCCGCAGTGCGTGCAGATCTGTGTGCACCCGGCCCTCCACTGAGCATGCACCGTACTCTTCCCAATTCAGAGATCCACTGAGTCACTGCTCCCCGGGGGCAGGAGTGAGGAAAGACGGTAGAAAGAAGCTGGAAAGCTCCCTCCTTTTCTTTTCCCATCTGGGAAGCAGGGAATATATTTTCCTTCTCCCCAGTTGGAGTATAGGCGCAGGTATTAACCAAATAAATGCACCAATAACTATGACACTGTGACCATGACAAGTGCTCTGTGGAGGAACTCAGTGATGTGAAAGTATCCAGAGAGAAGTCTGGCGGATCAGGGAAGGCTCCCCTTGAATGATGAGTGGGAGGCAAGGCAGTGACCAGAGAGAGAAGGAGCAGCTGGGAAAGGACTCCCTAAGGCGTGTGAGGAGATGCTGGGTTGAACGAAGGAAAACTGGATTCTCTAAGGCAGGGCCTTCATATACGTTGTTATTCTGCAGGGGGAGAATTTAGTAAAATCTCCCAAACTCAGTTGACTCTGATTCTGGGACCTCTTTTCCTGGGGGAATCTCGGGGGCTCATGGTGGACAGACACCCTGTGTTCTGTCAGGGTTGGGCATTGTGGAAACAGCATCGGTGTTGGAGGCAGATGGACCGGGGTTCCTACCTGAACAGCTCCCTTCACCAGTTACGAGTACACCTGTTCCATAGATTTCTGTGTCCGAGTCTGATGTATGCACCCGGCGTCCTATAAATGTTTGTGCCGTCTGGAGTCTTCATCTGGTGGCTTCAGGAACAGATCAGGGTCATTCTTCCATAGAAGATGAGTCGGTTCCTTTGTGCTGGGCCTTTGTCCCTCTTTACATCAGCCCCCATGCTTCCCTTGTACTTTATTCGGCGAAGATTTACTTTCCAGCATGTTGTGTAACATTTACTGTGTGAATCTAAGGCATGCTGTGAGAATGTAATTCTGTGATCATCTTTTCTGAGTATTTCTATGAAGATTTATTCATACAGAATATAAATTAAGGAATATGAATTAAGGGGCAGTTATGCACCTGAGTGTGCTTTTTTAAAAATATATTTTACTGATTTTTTACAGAGAGGAAGGGAGAGTGATAGAGAGTTAGAAACATTGATGAGAGAGAAGCATCGATCAGCTGCCTCCTGCACACCCCCCTGCTGGGGATGTGCCTGCAACCAAGGTATTGCCCTTGACCGGAATTGAACCTGGGATTCTTCAGTCCCCAGGCTGATGCTCTATCCAGTGAGCCAAACTGGCCAGGGCTTGGGTGTGCTTTATACATGACTTAATACTGGCTGACTCGTGGCCTGCACCAGATAACCATGGCTGCCTCAGTCGGTAAGTTTCCTTAGAACCCCAGGAAAATCAAGACAGTTTAAAAGTGAGAGTTTATTATTTTTCATGTAAGAATGTTCGGGAGAAATGGAATCATTCATTTCCTTTCCCTCAGACCTAAAGAAATCTTTCTGACACCTTGCCCATTTTAGCCATTTCCCACCGCGAGGATTAATTTATGTTGTGGTAAAGATGTATCACTTTCAATCTGTCAAGATCATTGGTAAGTTATTTGCTGCTTGAAGAATGTTCCATGTAAACATCAAAAATTAGCAGGGGAAATGGTTTCTTAAACCCCTACCCCGTACAATTTTGATTGTGTACATTTTTCAATGTTTGAAATGTTATTTTACCTGTAGTTAGAGAGATCAGCTTATTTTTCCTGACTAATGTGGTTTCAGTCACTTTCGCTGCCAGGTTATAAATAATATCCCATGTTTCTGCCTTCTGAATTTACTCTCCCAAGTTCCATATTCAAGGCACATTCCTGATCCAGAAGTAAGTCATCTTTGGAACATTTCATTTACAAAACATTTCTTTTTTAAAAAAATGTATTTTATTGATTTTTCAGAGAGGAAGGGAGAGGGAAATGGAGATTAAAAGTATTCACTTAAGCAAAGGTTAGAATGGTTAAAATTATGGATCAGCACACTTTCTATAAAGGACCAGATGGTAAATGTCTCATGCTCTGCGGGCCATAGGGTCTCTGTTTCAGCTATTCAGCTATAGAATTACACACACAAATGGGCATGGTGTGTTCCATTAAAAGTTTTTGTGCAACTTCATTTACAAACACAAGCCTGATTGGGCCCACAGGCCATGGTTTGCAAATCCCTGATTTAAATCATAAAGATATAGAATTGAAAGATAAACATAATTGAATTCCCTGAAAATAAAATGTTAAAACAATTCATACCTTTCTCCTGGTAATATCTGGAGTATAATTCTAGGAGGAGTGGCAGCTGGCATGTGTAGTGTTTCCTGCCTGTGCTTACCGTATACTTTATGTATGGTGCTGTTTTTAATCCTCACACCAGCCCCAATGAGACAACACTATTATTTCCATGTACAGATCAAAGACATAGAGGCTTAGGAAGGTCCACTTGCACTAAACCCCATGTTTACCTGTTCAAAAAGGTGGTCTTTCTAGTGGACTCACACTTGCTCTCCACATTCAGACCTTTTTAAAAACTATTGGAACTTCAGTCCTCTAGCTGCCCCAATTACTGCTTGACAGCTCCAAACCCGAAATACAGCACCTGCTAGGACACTGGGACTGTGGCTCACCCTCACTCACAGGAACTATGCTGCCGTCAGCTTGTCAGAACTGGAGAATTTGCTGGTTTCATTGAGTCAGAGTCTTCCTTAAGGGTGAGCTGGAGCTGACTCCAGAGAGTCAGTCTATAATAATAAAGCGTATATGCAAATCGATCGAATGGCCTAACAGCAGAAGACCTGCCCAGACGAGCTTCTGAACGAAGCCAGGGCTGCAAGGACTGAGCCCTTGCACGAATTTCGTGCATCGGACCTCTAGTTGTTAAATATTCCAGTTTTCAAACCAGTTAAAGGATTAGCTTGAAATTGGCCATGAGGAGAGTATTTATACCAGTGAAATTAGCAAACGCTACCTGTCCAGACTTCCACACACCCCGCTTTACCTGTTCACCACTCTCTTTTCCTTTTAATACTTACCAGGTTAATCTTACTTAGTTTGTAGTTCAAGGGATCAGGGGCCTAACTATGTCTGTGAATCAGCCTAAAGCAAAACTCAATCACTAATAAATAAATATTGGCCACTGCAAACAGTGGATTGCTCCACAGACATTCACAACAAAGGTGTGGGTCACTGTGTAGTGACGTTATCCAGTTATAAAACTACATATGAAGTATGATCCCAATCTTATTTTTTTTTTACTTCAAAAAAGTTAACTGTGGTTACTTTAATGTGATGGGAAAACAGGTACTCTTCTTTTCAGCTGCCTCCTGCACACCTCGCACTGGGGATGTGCCCGCAACCAAGGCACATGCCCCTGACCAGAATTGAACCCGGAACCCTTCAGTCCGCAGGCCGACACTCTATCCACTGAGCCAAACACGTCAGGGCTACAAAACATTCTTTACAGTTCACTGTCGTGATGAGACTGGGTCCGAGCTCAGCTTCATCTGGAGTCTTGGGTATTGCTTAGGTATTCTTGGAACCAAGATGTAGTTTGGAATTTCTAAATCCTAGGAGGGTCTTGTCATCTCTTCCTTTTCATTTCCTCTCCTTATTTGCTTGATTATATATATATATAT